AAATGCGTAGGACATTATATACGGACCATTGATCGGTCTATAGAACAATTTGCCTCCTTGAAAGCCACTTGCCCTCGATCGAAGCTTCCTCGATATGTGGTAACTGATTTTCGCTGTAGCAATGATCAGTAGGTACGATTAGAACGGTACGGTACTGGAGGTAAAACGACAACTTTTTAAAATATTATCTGTTGACGATAGCCATATCCCATCCTTTCTAGGTACTTGTGACTGTTGGATCACTGGTACTGAAAGCCTAAGACAGGCTTAAAATTTTTTCAACGTGATTTCCAGGCAAATTTTGCTGATAATGGCAATTTTCTTTTTCTCTGAATTTATTTTCCCCAGCTTATAGCAATTAGAAAAATTCCGCTTTAGCCGGTTCCAAACCCGTGTGAAAAAGGATGGTTGGAGACCCGGGCGAGGCCTCCGTAAAACTCAGTCACCTGCCCTTCATGGAATTGCAGTCATCGAACATTATACTGCTCAGTCGCCGCAGGCTGATAGAGGACTGAGGCAGACTATGAAAAGTCGGCGAATAGAAACTGCTCACCGCCTTCTCGAATCAGGGAGCGTAGTAGCACGAGAAAGGGCCCCCGAAGACCAACGAATCGGTAGTTGAGTTGCTACCCGTTCTGATTCTGAATGGAGGAGGCACACATTGTGATGCTATCATAATAACTCAGATACGACTCTACAGTGCGATACCGACGGTGCGAGCTTGCTGTCAGAAATTGGAACATATTCTTACTCAGAGGGTAAAAGCACGACCTAGCTGATGAGGTCGCGAAGTACCAATTCGAAATAGTTGGACTGTCCTCAGTGTTGCGCCGGTGCTCTGGCATTCTGAACCTTTACGTTGAATTGAAGCCTGTCAGGCTATAGCTACAACAAGCCAAAGGTTTCCCACTGTTACAATCTATGAGCGCATTTTGGAGAGATAATACAAGTCCTACCTTTAAGAAGTGCAGGGTGCTCTGTACGAAATGATGAATCATTGGCAATTATTCCGTGTGGATTAACAAAAAAGATTCCGCCGCTTGATTTATCCGTTAATAAATCTTTAAACTCAAAGCTCCGTTCCAGATGAAAGAAGTGGATAATGACTGGAATTAAAAACTACAGTAAATCAGGTAAGATTAAAAGGGTGTCATATGAAAAAATGTGTCTTGTGTTAAAACGGAATCTTAAAAGCATTAGGCAATATCCTGTCAACCAATGCTATAAACAGAAGATGACGAGGGATTAATTCCAGAAAACACACTCAATAATGTACCCGAAAAAATTGCAGATGTTCTTGATTCATTTTATATTGATTCAGATGAGGAATTTTATGGTTTTCAGTGACTTTATTATAATACGTTTGTACAATAAATGCTATTTTACGTTTTCTGGTTTATTTTTGTCTTATTTTGTTATATTAACCCTTATATTCACTGATATTACAATGTGTATATGGTTTCAGATCAATTTATTTTCACAGTGTACGCAAATCTGAAATTACCGCGTACATGGGTAACTTAAAATAATTTTGAATATTTTCGATTTTCATTGCATAACGCGCAGCGTTCTTTTTATACGTTGAATGAACTTTTTGCATAAATAACGCGGGCATTCTTGATGGGAAAATGCGATATATAACTGAGACAAAGAAATGTTTTATATAAACGTATTTTTTCGCAATCTAATGTAGCTTAATCTCCTCGAAAATTCTGTTGACGAACAGGTATTTCTCTGAAAAGTACTGCACGTATTTTAAAAATAACTTGATAATGAAAAATGAGTTTTTCATTACCCTTCATGAGCCAAGTGGGGAAACTCGCTGATTTGTTTACGTTGGCAAGTAGAGTTCAGCAATCCAATTTAATGCCGATATCGGTTCTGGTCAATGACGATGGCTCTGACCATCTGCCATCTCGCCTAATCTTAATGGCTTTGACCCTGCAAGGCATGATTTTGCTTAGGTGGAGAAAGCTGGAAACTCTAACCGAAAAATGCTCCCGACATAGTAGGAATTTCTCGTTTACAAATGTTTCAAATGAAAGCTTTCGAAAAAAGGACGAAATGAATTTTTATTTACTGTAGTTTTTAATATGCAATTTCCTACGTATCTTTTATCTCTTGCCTTTCATGTTACTAATCGATAAATCGGAACATGTACTCGCTTCCAGGCATCCACATCGCATTATTGTACCTGTCTTAAAAATCATTTGTTACTTTTAAGTAGTACAGTCAAAGATAGAAGCGGTGAGTTTTCCACGGTTATTTAATTTTATCAGTACTGATAACGCTTTAACATCGCAGTTCAGCGAATCTCTGTGGGGTGGTACAAACCTTATGTAATTGCTCAAGTTTGGACGAGAGTCACTAAAAACCGTTCCATAGATTAATTTGGTAGAACTTCGACAGTTTTGAATTTGAATGTTATGTTTAAATTTATTTTGCTTTTATACCTGAAAATTTCAATTATTCTATAATTTCTCTATTAGAGAAACGTCTAAAAGTTGTGAAATCATGAAATGTTCATAATGTTTAATCAAACACCAGAAATCATCGGGTCACAAACGAGCATGTGCTGATGACAATTAGTCTGAAAAACTCTCAGATGAACTTGGAGATCAGTGCTTGGCTCGGTTCCATCAAAACAGCTTTAAGAGAGGGTGGAAATGATTTCGAAACTTTTGTCGCTTGGGAATTTTCATTGATAAAAATGCGTATCGCTTCATTGAGACACGTCTGCTTGCGACGAGAAATACAGCGTTTGCCGCAACGGCAACGTTGTCCAATATCGATCTGTAGTACATTTCTGATGGTCACACTTCAGAAGTCTTGGAGTATGAATATTCTGCTGTTTGGGCTCTGCTAAATTCAGACAATAACGATTTGAAATTTTCTTTTCCTCTGGAACTCACATGTGTCAATGTGATATGCACTATGTTCAGTTATGTAATGTTGTGTTTAAAAAATGTATTTTAAAACAGTCAGTTACAACTGATACAGTGTAAATTGCCACATATGTCCGGAAATGATATAATGCACTGATTATCGAAGAAATGACCTTCAACGTTGTTTACCGTTATGAGGAGGTATAGGTTGCGAAGAAAAGAACAAAATGTTTATGTGACACAGACGATACGCGTAAAGGAAAATAACGTAACATCATCAACCGCTGAGACGCTTAAGGTCCAAAAATGCGGCATAACGAACACTGCAAATTGTGTACGTCGTGACATTATGATTTACCACAGAGGTGACATTTGTGATAACGTGAAACAAGTGGCAGTTTTTAACGAAGAACCATAAGACGTATCGATATGTGTTGTACCACAGTGGTCTAGCAGGCATTTTTGCAGCAGAATTGACCGACCTTACCGAGTAAGAGTATGTAGCACTATCGTGTATGAGTTGCTGCTGATTTGCTGCCAGCTATCAAGAGGGTCAACGTAAACTGTAGCCGTAAAACGTACGCCTCACATGAGTCACTGCCTCTGAGGTACTCTCCTGAGAAGAGATACCGTCTCTGTTGTTCTCAGGTCATCAACTCTCTATGCTTGGGTTTGAACGAAAACATGGAAAGTGAATTCCTTGCTCAAGGCAAATAGAATGCCTGAAGAGCGACAGCAAAATCTCAACCGGTCGCATCACTGTCCTTCTACGTATGCAGGTTTTGTCGAGATTCGGTCGGTAAGTTTGTAACGTTAAAATTAACACTTCACTTCTTAATCGAAACCACTAATATACCGGAATTTGTTTCCAAGTTACGTGCTGATTCGTACATGGCACGCCGCAAAGAGTGCTTTTCACTCATGAACAAAACTCGGCTTTCACCTTTATGCCGATTGACATTCTAAAACATGGGCAGCTGGCCAAAACCTTTTCTAGGCTTGCTCTGGCTAGTAATAATCAATCATTTGGGAACATAGTTTAAAACTGTGCAATGCGACCTTTCTTGTGATAATTGGCAACGAACTGCAATGCGAAACGAGTGGAAGATGATATCTACTTAATCAGCCCGCTTAATCAGCTTAATAAACGTTATTTCTTTCCTACTAATAGTCTTATTTGGAGGTAAAGTTACTGCTAAAATTTTTCCGTTAAGGAGAGTGAGTATAGCTTGTAATATGTATCTATATGTTGCTTAGTACATACAGGTTTGCAGGGGTTAAGTAAATATGTAAAACAATGACTGCGATCTAAGGTCTATAGGCTGTTAGCTGACTGATTCACAGGTTCTGAACACGAAGCTCAAGCGGTACAAGCTTAATGTTAATCGCCACAAAAATATTATTAATTATGGACATGCCAGGGAACATACCTGCTGCAATGAACGCGAATCAGTACGGTGCTCCTTGCAGGCAGGCACTTTTCTCGAAAATTCTTTGAAGCTGGTTTAAGCAATCAACAATCAAAAACCGTAATTCATAACTGAGGAGCCGTGCCGTCCAATTTTATGTACAATTACCAGCAGCAGCATTTCGCGAGAAGCATGCGATGGCATAAGTTGCAAGTCTGGGTTACAAGTGCGGTGCCAAATGTTCGAATAACTCAGTACTCAACGAGATTGTTTTGTTTTTGCATGCCCATCGCTTGAAGCGCCAGGTTGTACGACGGCTCTTCTGAATGAACTAACAGTCGCTAGTTGAAAAACGCTGAAGGGCGAACTTGCGATGTCTCATGTCCGTGAGCGCCCCTTAAATAGCTTCCACTTAACGTGTCTGATGGCTTGGTGTGGTTCTTTTTCCCACTAAGCTGTTTATCCGGTGCAACTGTTTCTGCTATCGAAGTACAAAGTCTAACGACATCAATGCACATTTTTGGTGGTGCCACATATTCCTGGAAGTTGTTCAGACTCCCTTACTGAGGTACACTGCCGTAAACTCGGCCTGAATATTTGAAGAAATTTTGTAACGGTTCTAACGTTGTGTT